AGAGAGAGAGAGAGAGGGAGAACCTGTGTGCAGGTCCAAACACACTTCCACAAAACATGCTCAAAATGATTGCCAGACATGGACTCAGGAGTCACGAGGCAGATTGGCCCCAGTCTAGGATGCTTCAATTGGTGGGTCAAGTACATGACTTTTAAAATATCTGCGGAGGTTAAGAAATATATAAAATATTAAAATATCTAGGAGTATGTAAAATAAATTTAATTCTACTGAATGATTTAGTGCGAGAGGGAGGGTACGAATTTATTATTTTTAAATAGTTTTTGATAAATTGAAGTTATTCGATTGAAGATTGTGAAGTTTAAAATTAGGAAAATAAAATATTCAGATATTTTCATGTTAAGTAAATTGATTTTAATACTAATATATTATTTGATTTTATATTTTAATAAATTATTTTTTTTAAAAAAACAAGGGATATTGATCTTCGAGTGAGCACAGGTGGAAAGTAAACTTGAGCTCTTTTTTATCTTTAAAGACCATTTATTTTTTATACAAGGAAGTTACATTTATTTTTAGCCATCAATTGTAAAATCAAATAACTGAGGGCATATATGCATAATGCTCAATAATTTTCTTTCAAACTTTATGTATTGTTCTTAGTGTCCAAATTTCAAATCTAATGGGCATATAACATTGTGGCGTTATTGTACCAAAAATAGATGGCCTCATGTTATACAATCCAGTGTTAAAATAGTCAATTTATCAATAAAAGAATTAGTATTTCAAAAATTTCATTTTTCAACTGAGCCAGCATTGGGCTAGGCTGCCTGGCCCAGCCCTACCTAGCCAAGATGCCTGGAGGCCCAGGCTACGAATGTTGGCCCAAGAGCTGGACCTAGGTTGGGTTGCCTTGACTCGATGGCTTGGCTGGGCTAAGCTTGGGCCATGTTCGGCCACAACCATGCCAAGGCCACATAGCCACTTGCCTAAGGCCTAGCCTAGACTAGGGACCCTTTGGCCAGGTGGTCCGGGCCTCTATGAACATGAGCCGGGCTTGAGCTGGCTGAGGCCAAGCCTGGCCTGGCCCGTTCTTCCCTAGGTTGGATACAAGTGATGATTGTTGTGTAAACATTGAATGCATGAATCGTTAAAAGGTTGGGATGCATGACGTATTATATCTTCTCGTGATAACTATAAGAATTATGGGAAAGTATAGAATGAGATAAATTATTTTTTTATATAAGGTGGTTACATTAATCTTGACCATTCGATGTAAAATTGAGTAGTTGCAATTATTCTATTGATCAAACTCAAATTTCAAATTTTTTTTTTTCGAACTTTGTGACACATTCGAGCTATCAAATTTCACATTAAATAGTTGTAAGGAATCGTGACCACTTTGTATCAAAGATTAATGGTCTCGTATATAAATCTAAAAATTATAATGAAAACTATAATAAAGTATGCGGTAATAAATAAAAATTAAAGTTTTGTGACCGAAATAGTCATTCTACTTTTTATAGATGATGATATAAGGCCAATATATGGTGGTTCTGCATAGCCAAATTGTAAACTTGAACCTGTAGGAGTGGTGGGGGGGAAAGCTTCAACAGTTTCAATTCACATCGCGGTCAATTTTTAAAAAACAAAATTGAAAAGAAATGAAAATTTTAATTTTCTAGATCGGATCGTCCACCAAATGGACGGTCCTGAGTACATAAGAGATTGTTTTGGATTTAGAGAAGAATAACGATAATTTGAAAGTTGATCAAACAAAACCCTTATTTTGGTTGTAAGACGACCTGAACAATAGGAGCCCCAAATATTTCCCACGTACAAACAATAACAAAATGCATATACTCCATTTTGTTTTTCCAGTTTTTCAAACTCTGGATCCGTCGTATGCATCATTCACCATAGATCCATGGTGGATCGTTGGATGGTGATCTAGATCGAGTCAAGAAAGTTTTGAATATGTAGTCTAAAAAATATTTTAAAATAAATAAAATAAAATTGAAATAGAACTTTATAGGATGGAGGTTTAGAGGAGACCTGAAAAAAATATTAGACAAGCTTTAAAACTTTAAAAAAGAAAAAAAATATATATAAAGGGTTTGAGGGGAAAGTAGACTGGGATGAGTACTATCTCAGAACCAATTCGGTCCTTACCGATTACCATTGAGATCAACGATCCAGATCGGAAATTGACGTGTTTTAAAAATTGGGCTTTTCTATAGGAGTAAGCAGAGATTTTAATATTGAGATTGCATTGAAGGTTCTAAAATCTCTGATCCAGATCAAGAATTGTAGATCTAAATCGGATTCACTAACTTACTGGGCCGGTTGCCTCTTGGAAATAGGAATTGGCCCTAGTCTCTCTAATTTGCATGATTCCCCGTCTATACCATACCATGCTTATAGATCATCAAACAAATAGAGTATAGTTGGCAAAGATGGGTCTATGCAATATTTTTTTTCATTTTCTGTTTTATTTTTTTGGTTTAACCTGAATTCGGCCTATCCGATACCCCAATTTAGCCAACCTATAGCGGCATATTAGAGGGCTGGTCCATCACCGAATTTCGGATTTTAGAACCACAATCAACTTTCCAAACCCACGTCACGGTTCTCTTGACCGGTGTTAAAAAAACGGATAAATGACATGGATATCTGAAAGACCATCTGGATCAGCAGATCAGCGGTCTAGATCAACAATCCGACTGAGAGAATTGTGCAATAAAATAAATAGAGGACAATAAAAAATAAAAAAATAAAAAAAAGAAAAAAAAGAAGAAGATGGGGCCAGATCGGCCAGTTCTTCACAAAACCAGCCTATTTCCAATACATGATGGGAACTGGACAAGTTTCACCGATCCTTAATCCAGATCAAGTGATTCCCATCTGGATCATTGCTTTTCAGAACCTGCTCTTGACCAAAAGCTTCTTTTTTAAATGTCATTCAAAAACATCATTTTCCAAAATATCGATGTTTTACAATTTCTATTCTAGTGAGCAATGTTTTAAAACCCGAATCGGCTGGGTGAATTGGCCATCCAAAAAATTAGTCTGGATTGGTGAATCAGGCCACTGATATTTTGGTGGGAGAATCGATTGGCCATCCAAAAAATTAGTCTGGATTGGTGAATCAGGCCACTGATATTTTGGTGGGAGAATCGATCCAAAAAACTAAAACTTTGAAAAAAAAATAAAATATAATGTGCGGGAACCAACCAGTTCATATCATCTAGTTCCTTGACAGACTCACGTGGTTCCCTTAAAAAACGAGACGATTCCAAAAGAATAGGACGGTCAGGACTTTTAGATACTGGTATTATTATTCACGAGTATCTCAAGTAGCCTTTTCTATTTTTAACCTATTTACTCGCAAGATATTGGTATATCAAACATCAAAATAATTAACTTTAAAAGATCTCCTACAGGGGTATGGTCCACCGTGGAGAAGACCCTATGTAAGAGGACTTTTAGGACCCCTATTGCCGGGATCTAACCTCCTCACTCGAGCCACCAAGATCCAAGAGCAAAAAAACTGCATTCTACATATTCATGAAAAAAATAACATCCTATTATTGTAGAGAGACCATCTAAAACTTTGGACAGTCAGATCTAAGGATTTCGATACGTAAATTCCTTCATTTTTTTTGTCTGAAAAGTGTAATTTCAAAGTGGATCCCAAAATTTTAGATCAAGAAAATACTCCGAAGTGGGTATCTCTCAAGCCAGTAAATATGTAGTATGCTTCCACATGAACATGCCATATATACTCCTTAAAAAAACAGAGTGCTTTTGGTGGAGGAACAAATCTGAAAAGTGTCCCTCCCACCACAAAAAATGGATGGTCTTTTTCAATATCCATATATCACAAGGCTGCAAAGTTAAAATATGCTTCTTTAATAGGACTCTTTGATAAAGACTGTTTTCCCATGTATTGAAACCCTGCGATGTATTTTCTACAAAATACTGAAAATGTAACTTAAAAAAAAAAAGAAAAAATAGAAAAAAGAAAAAATTTAGACACAAAATCTAGTAGTGGAAACACTTTCCAAACTACTAAAAATGTTCTCAAGATCTTTAAAGATATAGGACCTAGGCGATCAATGTGTGTTTGTGCAGAAAGAGCAACAAACAGAAATTTAAGTGTGTGAGTGTTCATGTGATGAAAAGGCAAGCAGAAGACTGCATATTTTGGGCACATACCATATATTGGAAGCTTGCCATGGGAGTACCCATCACGAGGAAGGTCGTCAATGGGGAGAGTTCGCAGGCCACAAGTTTTAGAACACAACAAGAGATCGTCATTGAGTCTCACAAAAAACCAATACTTATACAATGTTTCAATGCATAGGGGGGATAACCAATAATTAAGTTTGGAAGAAATAGTCGGACACGTGGTTGCAATGCATAGAGCCGGTATTAAGTCGAGGTTAGCAGGACTGTATTTTCGGAAAAAATAGCATAAACGCGAAGAAATTTTGACAAAGAATCCGATGTAAACATTTCAAAACCGCATTTTGTACTTAAAGTTCTATGTACATCTGTGCGCGCTCGTGCATGCACAAGCATGATGGCCACATGCGCATAAATGATTGGTGCCTGCTAAATTTTGGCAGAAAAATAATACTGTGCTACACTGCACTAAAACTCCATGTTCAACTCAACCATCCATTCTTGACATCGGATAGTTGACACGGAGCCCCTATGGGGGAGTTTTGGGTACAATTCGTGAAAAGACTTATGGATGCCAAAACCATAACAAGAATGACTCCCAAAAGTCTAAAAATGGGAATACTACAAATATGTTGTTTTGTATATTTTTGAACAGAATAATCTCTCAAATGTATTCATAACTACTTGAAATATAACTCTGCTTCATTGGTTTCTTTTCCCCTGGGGTAATGTGCATTTGGCATTGTCAAGTTTCATTAAAAATACAAATAAAAACAAGCTGTTACACACAGAGAGATAGGCAACTTTCATAGCTCCAGCCAACTATGTAGATATTTTTTAACAAAATGTACATACAATAATTATACTCTTAAAGAAGGATAGGATTATATAGCAGCATTTGAGAGTGCAAGTGGGGTAAGGATGTACATTCCACAGTCATGCGAGGCAATTATGGCTTCGAAAAAGCCATCAATATTTCCCAAGTCCTCATGCTGTAACAGAGCACCACCAAGAGGGTATTTAGATAGACAACTTGAAAAGGAAACCAAACAAAATTCCTCCTGTATAAGAAATCTATAGAGAAATCCTGACTGCAAAAGAAGAATAGGACAAATAAAATAAAAAAACTGACTAATTCATGTCTGTTTGAGATCCCTTTCTATTGCTCTTTTGAACATATTCAAGAAAGTTTATCAGTGTGTAGTTTTTGTTCCTTTTCCTTGCGTTTGTTTCTTGGGGTGGCAGGCAATCAAAATTTTCCTATGTTTGTCATTAATTTGTTCCCATTGTCTTGAATATTGACCATTTACTAAATCATGCTAAGAAGCCCAAGGACACAATGATCTATTACACATTCATTTTTCGTGAAATTTAGAAAGTTAATAATTATGTAGAAATTGTGTATTGCATGGTTGATGAACTGATGGCTTCCCACCAGTATGGCTAGCTTCATTAGAACAGATCATTCTGATGAAACAGGCAAATTTTGCATACTACAGAAAAACGTGCCTGTTTTTGATAGGTTACTTCATAAAGGGAGTCCCTTTCGTATATAAAACATAAGAATATCAGCAATCATCCTGATATATAGTCTACAAATGAATGGCACAACTGAGTTGATTCTTTTCTTTTCAATTTTCACTTTTATCTTGTTTTGTTGATTGCACATCCTTTTTCATTTAATTTCTCTTTTCCTGTTCCATTTCTTTCTTCATATCATGTATATATTTGTCTTACATCTCGTAGAATTTTGTTACCTATCAGTGTTATTCTTTTCATATCTTATTTTCTTTTGTGATCTGTCATGCCTTCCGTTTTCTCTATTTTATTTTCTGACTTCTATTTTTCAGAACTTTTCAAAATGTCATGTTTGTGATTACCATTAGTAAATGAATGTGCATATATGTTCTACGCATACATACATACATTCAAATACGCATGCACACATGTTAATGAACAATGACATAGACAATGGTAATAAATATAATTAATAAAATACTAGAAAGAAATTCTCACCTTCCATAAATCTCTCATGAGAACGCTTGCTGATGAGTGGAGGCCAATTGTTTCCCATTTGGCCTTAATGGTGACGGGTTCTGAGCACCGATTCCAAAGGGCTACAACCATGCGGTTTCCAGAGAGCGGTCCTGCCCAAACCTGAAATCATGATAGAAATATTTATAAATAAAGAAAAAGAGAAGAAGGCATATAAAAATCCTTACAAAAAGATTTTTGTCACCCCCAAATTGCATCAATATTTAGACCAATAGAGAACATTGTACAACCTGTGCCACACGCTTAAAGCATCATAATTTGTCGGAGGGCATGTGTTGCCCCTTGGCCAAAAACTTCATTTGTTTTAAAATAGTAAATGTATTGTTTTTCTAGAATATCAACATTTTTATTTACAATTCACGAGATATTGATTGAACACACTACAATATCTCAAGTGGTTTTTTGTTAGAAACTCAGTATTTGAATACATTATCTTAAAAAAAAAAGAAAAAAAGAAAAGAAAAGACATTGATATTTAAATACCAATATCTTCTACACAGGTATTTTTAAAATGGCAAGTTTTACGGGCAGAATAGGAAAGTGCCCCTCTGCAGTCTGAGACAAATATAGGATATAGTAAAGTGCTTATCCATGATTCATATCAGCGAGCTCTAAAAGTAACCAACTCGTAGGGATTCTTGGCTAAAAAGCCCTAATCTTAATATTTTTTTTTACCTGCATACCTCTTTTTTGGGTTATGGAAAGCATAGCGCAATCCAGTGGACCATGTTCTACAGAGTGTTGCAGTCATGGCCATTTGATGAAATGGATAGTTATGAAGAGAGAGTGGGGCCCACCAGAACAGTACATAACCGAATGGTGGGCCTGTCTCTCTCTTTCTCACTCCCCCTTTCCCCCTCTCTCTTTTGGGGGTCAGCACTAGTATTCTTTTTCAGATTTAAGCAAGGTGGGTATGAATCCCTACCCATACAAGGATGCAGACCTATCTCCTTTGGTAGAACAAACCTTCTTACCAATGTTTAAAAATTCGGTGAGTCCAATTAGGACTCACCCGAGACACTTGAAACCAGTACCCTGCTGGATCTGGATGACCCTCTAAATCTTGACTGAGTCTACTCAGGTCTTTTGAATTCTGTCTGAGTCTTGACCAGTCCGAATTGGGACTCCCTGTGCCGACCAGGACCAAGCACTGCCCGGTTCCATAACCGGTTCTGGGATTTAAAACACGGACTCTTACCAATTGTGGTCAACAAATAGGTTGAATTGGAAATCTACCAAAAATCTGATCAGTTCATTGTTTCTGAAAATCATTTCAAGAAATAATATAGAGTGCTGGTACCTTGGTTCTTCACTAGGTAACTACCAAGTTGATCGTGCTTTGGTAAAGGAAAATTGCTTTTAGTTTAGTTATCCCGTCATCTCTTAGGAGCATATGATTTAAATCAGGGGAGTCACATGGTTCCAACTAGGGATTTTCACCATTAAATAGTAGTAACGTACAAACAAAGTAAATCACTAATAAAAGACGACAGAACCCAGGATCAATCGCTATGAAACATTTGATGAGAATACAAAGGAAAACCTGGCTGCAATAGTCACTTCCTTCAGCTGAAACTTTCCTGCCCTGAATGCCAAGAGGGTCTGCATACACAAGTAAGTCCATGTTACGTGGTTCCCAGAACATAGCTAGGAAGTTACGGGATATTGCAGTTACCATAAGAATGACAACCATGATATCAATATGGCTCATAAAGTCATTTCTGTTTCTGCACTGATAGAGCATAAAGCTCATTATTTTTATCAGACTAAAAAACAATTAAGTAGATTGAACAACCAATGCTACTTTGCTGCTATTTTCTTGAGAAAAGACCAGGTTTTGAAAATATCCCAGGAGAGTATCCTGAGATTCTTTCACTTTGTTCTGAATAAGATCATTCATCTAAAGAATTGTCATGGTATTATGAATGGAGCCATATTTTCTGAAATCAAGAAATTTCCTAGTTCAAGAATAAGTTAATCAATAGAAACTTTGGCATAAAAAACTAGGAAAACCTGACAAAAGTAGTTACAATTTTCTCTCTAGCAAAAAAAGCATCAAACAAAGAAAACAAATACAAAAAATATAAGGCATTACTCCATCATGGACGGTAGTTATCTACACCATAGTTATCAAGGCTGGACCAAATGGGTGATCCGACTGGTCAGACTATTGACCAATGCATCAGTTGGTTTGGTCCAAGGTAAAAAACGGGCATGTTTGAAAACTGGTCAAAACTAATGTTTGACTAGTTTTGGCTAGTCAGACCAACCAGTTTGACCAATTAAATGAAGTTCAAATTTTTTTTTATACATTTTATATTTTTAATTATTATATGTCGAATTTTCTTATTTTTAAAATCCGGTCTGCCTAGTTTGACCAGTAATTGGACTGGTTTTGACTGGACCAACTCTCTCACAGGTCACTGGCCAGTCCAATCCTGATAACACTGACTGACACTATCAGGTTCTAGATTGAGAAGTATATATAAGCTTATTGAAGGAAAACTAATAGCAGAAGGGGACTTACAAATTGCATGTGACTACTATGAACATGAAGACACATTAAGCCTGTCAGGATACTAAAATATTACCTTGGTTCACAGCAATAACCTCTTTATTGCTTAGAATCTCCAGTGTTTCTGCAGTCATATTTCTCACGTCACAACCAATTAATAGAGGAGCCTGCATGAAAAGATGATAACCAAAAAATTGTTAATGAAAAATACGAAAATAGGAGAGCTTTATGTCATAGGGAAACAACATCTCACCTCACTCAAAGATGAAAATCCCACAATATCTAAGCAACAACATTGTTTGTATCATACTAGTAGGAGTGCATTAAATGTGAACTAAAATTTATTTGTCATGGAGCAATTATTTGAAAACACTAAACCCTGATTTTTGGCCATTGAACTGCCTAAAGGATTGTGCATTGAGTCGAAAGGCATGTCATATAATTACCAACAACAGCAATATACTACCTAATATATAGAGGGTAAGGGTGCATTCTCTAGAAGGAACATATGTTCAGAGATCAAATATTATTTGCAGGGTGACAAAAAAAAAAAAAGTTGAGCAAAAACACAGCAACATATGATTGCAATTCTAGTCAATGATAAGCATGGACAGCAAAGGGATGATGCATGTCAAATTTGGGACTACTGATGAAGGTGTTCATTAAACAGCAATTTTTGAGTGTTCCAGGAAATTGTCATCCTTCTAAATTGTCAACATCGATTCTGATAACTGAGCTGCTGAAAATTACATACAAGCATTATTAATAATATAACAATAGGAATTCCAATGTCAAACATAATCATGCATTTGAAATTGATTTAACAACTAACATGTTCTCCAATTTATAATCTAACTTCGTATTTGTGATTGAAATATGACCTGCAAAGTTCATGACCTCTTCTTAAAGATACAATTACATTAGGATAATAGAGCAGCATAACATAGCATGCTGTGGTTTATATTGCTTTTAATATGAATAGACAATTCAGATTAACAGCTAATTCCTTTTGATATCATCACAAAAGTATCAAATACACAATTTTGTAGATCAGCCACTATGTCTTCTAAGAGCATCCTTGAGATTTCTTCCAAACAGTGAAAAAGAGAACCTTCATCAAAGACCAGATACTGAAATGTGCACGGTATTCCTCAAAAGTCATTCCTCCATTGCCAACCTCCAGCATATCGGGGTCTACAAGGAAAATAAAACGATATGAAAGTTCATACACACATATACGTGTACACAAACAATATCATAACGAGAAAGATATTTGGTCATCAAAGCAATGTTATTTGATGGAAAGACATTGCTGTAATACACATAATAGAGTCTATAGAATTTAAAGTATTCAAGATACTACCATTCCATCCCCCAGGCCCAGCATATGCAGCCCACTTGTCATTTAGATCAGCAATTGTAGTCATGCTGAAAGAAATACTAAATTGATCAATACCATACACATCTTAAAAAGCATTGCTATCCTTTAGGAAAAGTAGTCATGGATGTGAAACTTAATTATCACCTTGCCCATGAATCATTTATGTCTTGCGTTGTTCTCCAACTATTTCCTACCCTGCCTGCCCACAAGGCTGGGTCATCCTCACCCCTGTTGAAAGCAAGCTCAACTAAATGCAAATGAATCCTCATTTGGAACATAAACAAAATAAAGCTATGAATAAAGTTCTTTTATTGGTAACAAGCAATGAATTAAAGTTACCATTCACAAAGAGAATAGAAAATGGTGCGGCCAGTAGCATTTAGTGCTTCTCGCATTGGTGGATATCTGAATTCAGATAAAGGGACAAGGGATGGAATTTTAAGAACACAAATCATGTGGAATTTGATGCAAGGATATTAAAATTACAAAAGTAGAAAGGAGAACAAACCGTTTCTTTGGTTCAATGCCGAGATTGTAGCAGTTATCATATTTTAAGTAGTCAACACCCTAACGAAAAATTAAAAACAACATTCAAAGAGAAAAGGTAAGAATTTATTTAAAGAGGTACCGAAAGTAGCATTTCTTGATTAGACGTATCCACATCAACAAACATGATTCTTAAGTACTCAAATAAGACAAGACAGTAGATACATACCCAAGAGGCAAATAATTGTGCATCGCCATTCTCGTGGTAAAGTGATCCAGGTCTAACTTGGCATGTAAACATCCTGAAATTTTTATTTTGTTACAAACTTTTGCAATATAAACCACTAACGAATGTAATACAATGTTAGAAAATTCGAACAACTAATGAACCCACCAATATTCAAATGCCTTTAATTTTCAAAATGTTGAGAGTTTTAAGGAGATAATGTTCTTGAAAGACCATCCAGCCATGACCCAGGTAGAAGAGTGAGCTGACACTGTGGCTTCTCCTAATTGACTTCTTTTGGCGATATACTAAATATAATAAACATCATAAAAAGCAAAACAAAATAGATTTGGGAAAATGTCCGACAAAATAAGATGCTGGATATCATTTGGCCATTATTGTGGAATTATCCAATAAATTTTTGAAGAACATTTATTCAAGAGTATATACGTTTCTTTACAAATAAGGCATAATTCTTGTTTAACATAACAATGAAATAGAAGGTATACTACAAAGTACATATCAATGTTACAGGCCTCGACCAAATCCCAGTCGGTCTATGGCGAGGCCGAGTTGGGACGAGTTCCACAGTAATTCGCCCCATCCTTACAAAGGAGGTAAAAGAAAATATTAAAGAAAAAGAAAAATGTAAAAAAATTGGAAAACACTACTATATTAGTTAGAATTGAGTTTTTAGATGATTTGGATAGTTTTTAAGAAGATTTGGGAGCTTTCACATTTTTCCCTTTTTTAAAATTTTTCTTGAATATTCAGGATTTAAATCAAAATTTTCGATAATCCATCTTTTAGAGATTTTTTCATCTTATAGTCTTCAAATGATTTCTATTACCTTTTCTTATTTTCTTATTTTTAACTATTTTATAGAAAAGTTTTTACCTTTTTTTTTTATACTTTTTTTTCGTTTTACTTTGTTGTAATTCGGCCAAGTCCACTGGGACTCGGCTGAGTTACTCGCCTAGGCCAAGGGCCGAGTACTTTGGCTGATGCAATTTCCAAATAATGAGACACTCATTTCAAACAAAAGAAAATATATGAGGTCCATTACACAATTTTCCTTCGGCTGAGTTACTTGCCTTGGGCAAGGGCCGAGTACCTTGGACGAGGCGATTTCGAAATGAATGATACATAATTATCTTTTCAAATAAAAGAAATCATACGAGGTCCATTACACAATTATTCTAATGCCTTCAAGCATAGATAAAAGAATTGCTGAAAAAAAAAATTTCGGAATATCTTCCTACCCTGCATCAGAATAAATACCAAGTTTCAGGCCCTTTTCATGTATGTAATCAGCAAGGGCTTTGATTCCTGAAGGAAAATCTTTGGGGTCTGGTACCAACGCTCCCTGTACAATAAAGACTCAAAATGTTAAAATTTGTCTTTTGATAACCATTTTATAATATGTAATGTAATCATAATTCAGCAAAGTGAACCAGTAAACATGTGGAACATTGATATAGATTAGGAAACCGAGAGAAGTACAAAAGCAAATGCCCATAAATAGACGAAAATCCATTAGAAAATGAGGGATGGGGCACTTATATAGTGAACAAAACATGATAACTTTTTTCTTTTGTAAATAGCAAATAATTCTTGTGGATGGTGGAAACATAGGTGTATCATAGTAGAACATGTGAAGCACCATGAAAATAGGGAGTGAGAAGCGAGAGAAGAACAGTATACTTGTCACTAGAGCTGGTATAAATAGAACACCACATCTAATAAGGGTTGGATTAAGTATTAACCTTCTACCTATGATGTTATGTAATGTTTTCTGTTGTGTGTTTGTATCTCTTCTAGAGCTTTTTCTTTTTTTGGGTGAACTATTCTAGAGCTTTCTTTGTGCATGATTCCTACTCAACTTGTTGGGGAGTATCTTGTGTTATTTAATTCTGTCCATATTAACATTATCATAAACATATAACAATGTTCTCTTGCGTTTAATTATCAGAAAACAATATTATTCTCCTATTGCTACTAATAGGTATAATGTTTGTGTAAAAATAGCACACAACAATATTAATATGGACAGAAGTAAATAAAACAAGATAGTCTCCAACAAATTGAGAAGTACTCATGCACAAAGAAAGCATGGAAGTAATACAAATACATAAAAGACAACATCATTCACCATCATAGGTAGAAGATCTTTTGACACTCAGACAATTGTGAATGTATTAGATAAAAACACAAAATCTGACCTTTCCATTTCGTGATACTGTCGACCAGCAATCATCTGTAGGATAAAACCAAAAATACATGAGTAAGCCAGACATGAAATTTGAAGACACATCCAAAAAGCTCAGTAATTAAGAGTCTAAGATCTTTCAGTCCACTGGAGAAGAGTAACGAGAAGACAAAAACATTACCTATATTAACGAATATATATCCGAGATCTGCCAGTCCAGTTGAGATAAGTGCATCAGCTGTCCAGGAAAAGCATAATGAACAAGAGTAGCAGTTTCGACATTTATATATTGAATTACTCAATATGAAGGTAAACAAGCAGTTCAAAGGTGAATGCTCGTTCGCTTGTAAGTTTGAAAGAATAACCATTTATCCAGCGATCAATTTCAAAAAAAAACAAGAAAAGGAAAATTGCAACCCTCCAAATGATCAAAATGAATCACAATACAACAGTGCCTGCGCACTGTCCAGCAAGTATAAAAATTGGACGGTCAAATCTAGGTCTTAAAGAACTCAAAATCAATGTGTGTGTGTGGTGTTTTAATTGTTAATCTGGTGAATCAAAGATGATGAAAAAAATTTGGGGTAAAAAATCCCTTTAGCATGGGGTTTTGGGCCTTGGGCAGGCATTGTCTGACCTGGGTGTCCACATGCTAAGACCAGAAAATTGATATAAACAGAAACCTCTCATGAAAGAGGGCCTTCTTCTCATATGCAGCATCTGGGTTCCCAAATTCCTTTGCAAATTCAAAAAGGAAGGCGCAGAGGTTGTGGAACATCAACTTATTCAGCAATGAACTTGGAAATATAGGCAACAATTTTGAGCCTAATTTACAGTACTTTGCTCCTACAATTTCTCTTATTTCTTTTGTGCAAGATAAGCTCTCTAAGTAATGTGTCAAAGAGGTACACAACTAAATCATAACCTGAATACTTCGGTTTTAGAGTTGAAAATCCGATCCATGAAGGGAAGTTGGTAATTCAAAGTTCTCAGTAATTCATAGTTCCATTGTTCGAAATAAAGCTCCATTAATGGCCTGGAGATTTTACATGTTCATAGAACACTGAGGGTTACACACCTAAAAATTAGTATTAGCTTAAGAAAAAATTTCATCCTTATTGGGGGTCAACTGCTGAACCATCAGAGATATCAGACATATAGAACGTAACTGATACAGTGATCACTTCAATACAAATAGTTGAACCAATAAGGGGATTACAAGAGAGTAATATATCGAGGAGAAAATTTTTGCCATAGAAAAAATGATGTCATATATTTAATTTTCAAAAAAAAAAATGATGTCATATAATCCATGCCTCCTCTGTCTCTGTATTTTTCTCCTAGTTTTATTATAAAAAATTAAAAATCATATTGTACAGTAAATTAAAAAATAAATAAACCAAACGAGTTTTGGAATGAGAACCAGATGGTACTTAGCACCTGTTTCTTTAATAACCGTTTCATTTATAGCACAAGCAAAGAAATTCCAGCTATTCCACCTGCAAAAAGGAACAAAATAGCTTGAGAGAGAGAGAGAGAGAGAGAGAGAGAGAGAGAGAGAGAGAGAGAGAGAGAGAGAG